GCTGTAACAGATCACAGTTCTCCAGGGTTTCTCTACAGTTCAGGACCAGACTCAGTTCAGTCCCACAGCTCGACACAGCTGGGATAAATACGGCAAATAAAGCTAACTACAGCACAGCACAATATTAAAAACTGCTTTGCTGCAGATGATGCCTAGTTCAGTAGCTCTTCAAGTAACATGGCCTCAAAAATCGAACATCATTTCAAGGCTCAATGGCTAGTGAACAGATCCCTGCTGTTTACAACCAAAATCTTCACAGCTAAAGCCCCAAAGAACTTTCTCTGGTAAGTGAACGTACAAAGTAGTTGGAATGCAAGTTAAACATGGTTTTTCTTTTGGCAATCAGAAAAAAAATCAGCAGGTTCCCATTCACGTTGTATCAATTGATTGCTACAGGCCAGTCTGAAGAAACAGTATTTCTAGCAGTGTAATTTTTCTGACAAGAAAGTGCATCTAATTAGGTGAACAGCTGGTGAATGTATATGCCGCTCTGGAAAGAAAGCACCCATGCTACCCAAGATCTTCACCCCACAGTTTCCTGGAGCACCCCAGAGAATACCCTGGAAACACAGAAAGTTTGTTATGCTAGGAAAAAAACCCAACTGCAACACAAAGCTGTAAGTGGAAACACATCAAAAAGCAGTTAGAGAATCCCCCCCAAGCAAAACCCAAGATAGGAGAAAAGGGCCTGCTTGTGGCAAGGAAATGCCAAAGCTGTGCCAAGAAATACATACCCGTCTGTCGATCTTATCACCCTGCAAGTTACACATGCATTACTTGAGAACTTTTAAGTGGAAAAAACACATTTCAGAAACATCCCAAGTTGGAGCCCCTTGTATTACCTAAGTCTAAAAAGCCACAGGCAGTTTTATTGACTCCAATTCACATTAACAGACAAAAAACATAGGGAAAAGGACAGAGAGGACTGCCTATTCTCAGGGAGAGTGGCTGAAAAGTCACATGAATAAAATATCAATTAGAGCATTCTGCCATTAATTGCAGAAATGTCTCCAGAATCACCAGAGTTAACTATCTCCTTATTTAATCTTCCTCCAAATGCCTGTCATAAGAGTGTATGTCACAAGGCACATTCTCTATAGAGTGAACTATCATTGTTGCCATTTGCAAAGCCAGGCGTTACAAAGCTGAACAATGTCAACGAATGTGTTTAACCTGACACAAACAAATGAGCATCAGTATGTGAGCACTTGGTATTTTCAAGATGTTTCTGTTAGCAATTATGCATTAAATGCTCATCAGGCATTTCCTGCAGGACAATATAGAACATGAGTGGGGTTCCCACCCATCTGCCATGTCTTTTACACCAAGGTAAAGTTCTAGGTGCTTTAGGATCCTCTGCCTACTGGTAGTAACAGAAGTTTCCTCCTTACAAGGCAAAAGAGTCATGACCCATACAGGTTTTAAAACTGGCCTGGCAAAAGCATTCTGTACTGCCCAAATTGCCCAAGCCTTCCCTTCATTTCTACTACACAGCAAAGTTGTCTTGACGTAACAAACTACTTATTTTTCAGACTGAAATTATTTTCAGTTAGTGTCCATGTCCATCTCATGAGCAAGGAAAGATAAAGTAGTAGTAACTTTCAGTTCAAGTCCTTGACTTGAGAAACACAGCAGCATTTAAGTTGGAAACATTGATGGACATAAATAAATAAACCACAGAAATGTTTAAGTGCCAAGTGTTTTCAGGAAATGCTGGAATTTCAGCAG